CGGGGATGCCTCCTGCTGGTCTGAGTCACCCTCCTGGTTTGGGGCCTCCCACCTCCCGGTGCGCCCCAGGGGGCACATGGGCCTGGCTCTGGGGACCCCTACCTGAGCCGCAGCCAGGGGTCCTCGCCCGCTCCCTCCATGGGCTGGATCCACTGCTGACACCACTGCCATGTGGAAGTGAGTTATGAAGGGCCTTTCTCCTTGGAGTTTCCTTGGCTATTTTATCTTATTTAGTCTTAGAAATGAACTTAAAATTTATTTACCAAGTTTCATAAAACAGACCGCTCCTCCTGAGATTTGGAGCAGAACTGCATTAAATGAAGAGGCAGTGTCTCTGCAGACTGAGGTTTTGCCAGACATCGTGGTCTCCCTCAGTTGTCACACTCAGGGGGAGGGGCTGTGCACAGACCCCCAACTGTGAGCACCATCCTCCAGCCCAATGGGGACATTTGTTTTTACTGTGTTTCTTGGTCAAATTGACAAGCATTTGACAAGCATTCCTTATGCCATGTTATTTTAATTTTTTGAGGAACTCTTTTTTGGATTTTTAAAAAATCAAGTTTTATTTGCTTTCCAGTTAATGAATTTCTGTTTTTCACCATATTTCATTCTTTTTTTACTTTCTTTTGTTCATTTTTGTTCTAGCTTCTGAGTTAACTGCTATGTTTCTTTAACTTTAATAGTACAGCCAGGAAACGATGAACATGATCTAACAGGGAATTCTCCTGGGGCCCTTTGTCCGGGCCCCACCCACGTTGGTGATGGGTGTTTAGCCACAGAAGCCTGATTTCCTCTTCGACCTGTGGCTCACGTGGAAGAACAACTGAAAATTTTCAACCAGTCGGATTTGATTGCTTTTTTGATATCATTAATATTTATGAATATTAGTTTTATGAAGCTAAGATCTGAGAATATGGCCGAAGCGAGTTTTCATTTTTTGAAATTGGTTTGAGCTTTGATTTGCACCTTGATTTTGGGTCATCTTTTAAACTTTTCCGTGGGATTGTGGGGAAAAAATGTCTATTCTCGCTATGCATACTGCACTCTATATAAAAAATAGTATCAAAATTGCTCATAATGGGACTTAAGTCTTCTACACACTCACTATGCAGGTTCCATGGGGATCTCTTGAGTTTGGTCACAAGAGTCAGCGTCCCCTCCATGGCTGGATGTGGCCACATCCTCCCTGCATATTCCTGTACCCCGTGCAATACCATGTGACTCTTAGGACTTCTGCACCAGGCGGGGTCTGGGTGAGAGGCAGGGGTGGGCAGGACAAGTCCCACGGAACTCAATGCATAGCTCAGACCTCCGCCTGTTGTCACCTCTCATCCACGGGCCAAAGCCAAGGGGTGATGACTCCCCCACCTCCCCCTGGGCCACGTGCACCTTCAAAGAGACCTCTGTTCCCAACAGCCCGGCACCCACCTTGGCTGACATGTCTCAGCTTGTTTGCTCCTGTCCTGACACAACCTCGCCAGCCAGAGGCTCCGTGACCCTGGAGTGGCGCAGAGGGCACTCAAGCATCCATTACACCCCTGGGGGAGGACAAGGTCCCTTCCCTGATGTCCTGAACCCCCAGTGAGGACATTCCTGGTCTCCATCTGAAAGCAATGCTGCCCGCAACCGTGGGCCCTAAGCCTCAGAGGTGCCCTGACTCCCAAGTCCCTCTTCCTGTGAGTGGCCTCAATCCTCCTGAAGTCCTCATCCAAGTTTTCTGGGCACCAGATACCGCAGTACACACTTCGTTGGTGAGGGCTGAACAGATGTTCAGAATGCGAGGCAGCAGGGGCCGATCCATCGTGCAGACCAGTGCCTCAGGGCGAGAGCCTGGGCCCCTGGCCTGACCCGTGGTGGATGCGTCCTTGGGTGCCTTTCAGGGAATCTTTCCAGAAGGTGTTTGTTAGGGTGCCTGTGGCATGCATGTGTGCCCATGTGTGTGTGTGCCTACGTGTGCTGGCATCTGGTCTCAGCCTTGCTTCCAGAGGTGACACATGATACCAAGGCCGAGGCTTGGGGGAAGGCACGGTCCATCCCACTCGCCAACCAGGCCAGAGGCCACAGGCTCCCCAAGGGGCCCTGAGCCTGGGGAGGCCCAGGTGTGCTGGGCGGGTCCAGGGCCCTGTGTCCCTCCCACGCTGAGCACCTCCGGTGTGTCCTGGTCTCCACCCCCCGGTCTCTCTGTGTCTCTCCATCTCTCCCCGCTCCTCCTTCTCTCCATGCTCCCACACCTCTCAGTCTGGCCTCACTCAGCCCGGGTCACCGTGGCTCCTGTCTCCTTTCCGTGCCCCCTTGTTGGGCATTTTGCAGTCGAGGACAGTCAGCTCCTCCGGTCTGTGAGGATCACATTCCTTCCCCACTGTCTCCTCGGCGCAGCTCAAGGCCACCCCACAGCCCGTCCCTGGGCCCTCCTTTTGGGGATGGACCATTTCCCTGGGTTAGGCCAGGGTTTCCCAGCAGAGCCCAAGGGGCCTGGGCAGGAGCTGGCAGTGGGGAGAAGTCTACCACCAGACCCCCGAAGCCTGGACGAAGCCCTTTGGGAGACTGGGTGCCACAGACCCCCAAAGATGAGCCTCCCTTGAAGTCTTCCCAGGGGGAGTTGTGCCCCGGATTGGGACCCCGGCAGGCTGGCCTGCACAGCGGTGAGCAGGCCCCTCGCTATCTCAACCTGGACTTGGGGTGCAGGGCTCTACGTGGTGGTGGAGAGGGAAGGGGATGGAAGGGGGATGGGATACACTCTGGGGGGGGGTGTCCCAGGAGGTGGTGAGCTGGGGACGCCTGGAGCTGACAGGCTGGGGCACCCCGTCGCGGGGAGACAGGGCTGGGTGGGCCAGGTATGGGCTGGGGGCTGTCATTCACTACAACTGCTAAGCGTGCCTGAACTCCCCTTTGAGAGGGGAGGGGTCTCGTGGGGCAGTAGACCCTGGACATCTCTGTGAGCAGGCATGACTGGAGCCTGCAGCCTGGTGAGGCTGTGGTTCAGCGCTGCCGGGCCCATCCTGACCCCTCCCGACCATTGGTCCACCCAGGGACCAACTCTCGCTCCCTCTACGACCCCCGCGGCAGCTACCCCGATCCTGCGTGGAGCCGGCACGTAAAAATCTGACGAATAGACTGTTAAAGCCAAGAGAACCACTTAAAGTTACGATGACTGAAGCACAAGATCCATCCTCCAAAATGGCCGCTCGCCCCAGGCCACTTGATTCTGCACATCTCTGCTTGGCAATCCCACTTTCCAGCCAGCTGCACCTGCGGGGCCTCTGGGACCCTGTGCCCTGGCGTCCGGGCTGCTCCTGGCAGCAGGATCATATCCTGGACTCTGGAAGCCCTTCCCTCTTCCCGTGGAGGAGCGGCCTCCTGGTGACAATGCCCATGGGGTGCCGTTGGGCACCATGGCCCAGCCAGACACTGCAGCCCCAGCTGGGCTGAGCCCACCCGAGACCCCTTCGGGCCAGTGACACCCCCCACCCCGCCCCAGGCCCGGCTAATGCAGGATCCCTGAGCTCTGTGTGGCCAGGGATCACAGCAAGGCTTGGGCTCTGTTACTCGGGCTCCACGCATGCCCACATGCCAGAGAGACCACCGGGTGAGGGACTTGGGGGACGGAGCTCTGATTCTCACTGTGGGCCTGCTCAGGGGCAGCTGATCTCTGCACACCTGTGCACACCTGTGTGTGCCATGGGCGCCCACCCTTCCTGTTCCGGTCCCAGGGTGCTGTCCGTCCTGCTCCCCAAAGGGCCGCACTGCTGGTCTGGGCCAGTTCCCAGACTTGGCCAATGGCAATGGCTCACTGGTGCTGGGTGCCCCGTGGCCACGCTCCTTTGTGCCATCCTTTAGGGCAGCGGGAGGGCAAAGCCACTTTCTGAGGTTGTGAGGCCAGCTTCCGGGTTCTCCCCCTCCCAGCAGAGAGGAGTGGGGAGCAGTGGGGATGCCAGAGGGGCTGCTTCCCACTGCTCCAGCCTGAGGGTCACAGCCTGGGCACCTGCAACCTCCCTGCCATGACTCAGAGGCCGGCATCCCTCACTTTCACGGGCCTCACTGCACCAGACAGGTCAAGTCCAGGGGGGTCGGTCCTGCCGTGAGGAGTGGGGAGAGACCTTGGCCTGTCGCCTTCCTGGGATCCCTCCAGGGGACCTTCTGCTAGGTCCAAACAGACCTCTGGTCCGTTCCTTTGTCTTTGTGCCCCTCTCCCAATTTACTCTGCCTCCCTCGGGGAAGCTGAGCCTGTGCCTTGTTGGAGTCCCCAGTCAACCACCAGAGCAAGTGTGGGTCAGGGTGATCCGCACAGACGGCTGCGTGGGGGGAGGGTGCCCCTTCCAACCCCACAGTCCTGTCTCCTGCTGGCTCAGGGACCCACGTCCCTGGCTTGAGTTTGCGGGTTGGCTAGGAAAGGAACATCTCAGAAGGAATGAACCGAGAAGAAAAGGCACAGGGTGGCGGCGGGACAGGCTGTGCAGAAGTCAGGGGATCTGCACTCGTCGAGGGGCGGTCACAGCTTGCGGGGCGCGGGGGAGGGGCGCGTCTCTGTCCAGGTCCGTTCCCGGAGGCCTCCAGCACAACCCCGAGCTGTGATCAGTATGACCAGAGCCAGGCGCTGCGGGGGTAGGCGCCAGGGGTGCGCGAGGAGTTCGGGAGGGGCTCCGGAGGGTGCGGCCGGGCGTTTGGACGCACGGGGAGTAGCCCGCGCTGGGCGGCCAGGGGCGCGTGATCGGGGGCGGCGACGCGATGGGCTGGGGTGGGGACTGAGCCCCGAGTCCCGGGGCGCGGGGCGTGCGCGCGGGGCTGCTGCGCCCGTCCCGCGGGGACCTCGGGTGCCACGGTGGGGCGCGTGTCAGAGACCGTGCAACTGCTGTCCGCGGTGACGTGCGGCGGGGGCGGGACCAGGTGCGCCCCCTCCCCCAGCCTCCCGGAAGCGAGCCGCCGCGGGGCATTGTGGGCAGTGTGGTCCCTTCTAGCGCCAAGCAGCGGAGGCCGCGAGCGCGCAGGTAGTGGGGTTCCCCTGTCTGCAGGAGCTCCGGGGGCGAGGACCGGGGGCTGCGGGAGGAGCGCGGGGCTGCACGCGCTCCGAGTGTCGGGGTGGACGGGGGCCGGTGGCTCTGGGGCCCGGGGAGAGCACAGGGCGCATGGGCCCCTGGTGCCGGGCTGGGCGCGGGGGCGCTGGCGCTGAGTGAAGGGGCGGTGAGTCCCACGTGCAGCCTCGCCCCATGTGGGAACCCAGGCGCACGCTCCAAGCGTCTGTCGCCTTCAGTCTCCGCGCGGGCCTGTGGAGAAGCCCCCGGTGCGCTTCTGGTCTCCAGCCAAGCCACTGTCGTTTCCTGCGCCTGGAGTCTGTAATTGTGAACAACTTCCCCTTGGAACACTTCCTGGCGCGGTTGGAGCCCAGCGCTGGAGACTGTCCAGAGCAGTGGGACGCTCTACACGTCTACGGGAGGAAAGCTATCCCCCGGGTCCTATCCGAAACACTTGTCCTGAGTGTCCAGGTGTCCGCCAGGCACACACGTGTGTTCGTGGGGTTCCTCGCCACGTGGGGATCCTCGGCCGCAGGTCTCAGATTACAGGCTGGAATCGGGGCCAGCTCGGAACTCCGGAATGCATGCACAAGCAGCCGTCTCCCAGGCTGCCCACAGTGCGGGAGCCGGAGTCCTCGGAGCTCCCTTCTGGGGGCCCAGCCTCGCTAGGGGAGAACCTTGCTCCGCGTCCGCCCTTTCCTCTGCACCCCCATCCCAGGCTCCAGTACAGGTGGCCTTTCCTCCCGGGGGCCCTGCTGCTCCCGGGATGGGGCCAAGCAGCTCCCCGTGACCCTGCGGTCCAGCCATGGGCCCATGAGCTGGCAGCCCTCCACTCGTTTTGGAAGCTTTGGGCAGCGCGTCCGGTGGTGCGGAGCCAAGTGTGGGAGACTGTGGGAGGGACGCACCTTCCAAAGTGGGCCCCGCCTGGTGTGGCGGGTGTCCCTGTAGTTCGGATCAGTGCCACCGCTCACGGCCCCGGGTGGTGGTCCCGCAGTGGCCACAGTGCCGGCTCCTTAAGGCCTGGCCCTCCTCTCTTCAGTGAGGCCTGTAGGGGCGTTTCCGCCTGTGACTGGTGACAGAGGTCGGCGCTGCCTCGCGGCCCCCTCCCCGCAGTTCTGCCCTGGGTGCCCCTGCAGGGGCCCCCTCACCGTGGGGAGCCAGGGGTGCTGGTGAAGGGCAGGCCCAGGACAGCGCCCCCCACAAGAAGTTGGAGGAGGGCCTTATGTGGGTGGAAGGGACAGATTTTAAAGCAACGCTCAGGAAAAAAGTCAAGCAGGAATGAAAGTGGCCATTTCTGAAGGGAGCCCCGCGGGTCTGGTACCTTCTGTGCTCCTTGGCATCCTCACTGCTGTGTCTGCTCCCCTGGCACGGGGCAGGGGGAGGCTGGCTCCAGGGGTCACTGGGCCGCCACGGGGCGGTAGAGGTTTCCTAGGATAGGCAGCTGCCTTTGTCTGGGGTGGCATCTTCACTCACGCCCTTGGAGAGCGGGTCCCTGGCACCCGGGCTGAGTGAGAAGCACAGAGGTAGTTTGAGTCCCTCTTTCTGGCGCGTGTAATGGCCCTTCCCAGCCCCGGTGAGAAGGCTGCCTTCCTTCGGCCACCCCTGCTGGGTGGCAGGCCTGAGGCTCAGGGGCTCCTTGAGCAGATGTTTTCGGAGACAGCAGGTAGAAGGCTCCCCGTGCAGCCTGGGAGACCCGCCAGCCAATGGGCTGCAGCCCAGAGGCGAGACCGTGTGCATGTGAGCCCAAGGTGAGCCCTTGGCCCTTTGCTTCCTGTGATCCAAGAGCAGAGGAGGCCTGGGTTTCTCCCTGCTGGCTGGGGGAGGCCCCTCCTTCCTTCCAGCTGTCCCGTAACTCAGGAGGAAGGTGAGGGACTCCAGCACTGAGCACAGCGTCCCCAGATTGTAGGGGTGGGGCTGGGAGGGAGGGGGCGCAGCTCGTGGGACACTCCCTGAGACCCCATGTAAACCCCGTCCTTCAGCCCTGCTCCCCAGGTGTCAGCAGACACTGCCCCCTACCCCTAACCCCCCCCGCCACAGCTCCCTGGCCATTGCAGGGTGTGGACCCTTGCATGTCCTTGCTTCTGGGGGTGGCGGTGGTCCACCACAGTGTTCTGACCCTGGAGGACTCCTGGGACCCTCAGGGCTGGGCCCCGGGGCCCTGGGGCCCATCTGCGTGTCGGTGGAGGCAGGATTGCGGTGTTGGCCTGAAATGCTGGAGGCGGAGCTCTTATCCGTGACCAGCTGGGAATCCCGAGGCAGCAGCTCCCTGCGTGCTCACCTGTTTGGGCGTGTCTGGGGGCCGTGTCAGGGTGCAGAGTCCTGGAGTGTGTCCGAGACCTTCAGACACACTTGTGACAAGCTCTCACTGCAGTCTCAGAAGCACCGCCTTGGGGTTTCAGAAGCCATGGGAGTCCAGGAAGTAGAAAGAAGAAGCTGGTGAGCTTGCGGGGTTCTGGTATCTGAGACTTCCGCCCCGGGATTCGGGGACGCCAGGTAGGGAAGCCTGTGTCGTCTCTTTGAGAGCAGGGGCCCCTGGGGGACAGGGAGGGTGGGGCGCGCTCCTGGGGACCCTGGGCTTTGTAAATTCTCGGCTGCTCGCCCCACACTGGGTGCTTGTCTGGCGGACAGTGTGCATTTCTCTGGCGCCCAGGGGGCAGCGCCCTGGGAGTGGGAGAGTGAACTTGGGGGACTCCTGGGGCTGGAGTGGGGGGCCGTGTGTGCACCCCCTGCCCCAAACATCAGAGTCTTTCTGCTGGAGCCATTTGGCCTGTGTGCTCTTGGGGGACCACACCTCCCGGGGGGAGGGGTGCCGGGGGAGGGGCCGGGTTCCAGCCCCCGTCCTAGCTGGTGTTTCGCCTGGCCCTTGAGAACGTTGGGACCTAGGACCCTGTAACTCCTGGGCCACTGTTGCCTCCCTCACCCGTACCCTGCCCCTCATTGTAGCTTCACAAACAAACCTGCCAGCCGCAGCTTCTTCAGGGGTTTACTGCTGTCACACAGCAGCCCCCCATTTTTCCTCAGTCTCAGAAATAAACACAGGAGGAAATAAGAACAGCCGGGCTCTGACTGTCATAGTTCCCCTTGCTGAGCAAGGGCCAGGCCTGTGTTGAAATCGTGGTACTGGGGTGAAGTCTTACTCGGCCCTCGGTGGCCCCTGGGGGTTCTCTGCCCCCATCCCCGACCCTGGACTGTGGTCTGGTGTGTGCCTGGCCCGGCAGGTCCTCCTCCTGCCACGTCCTCTGGGCCATCGTGGGCGCGACTGCTTCTCCTCTGGGCCTGGCACTTGGACACGCCTGGTGCTGGGACACAGTGAGGATCAGGCCGTCAGACCTTGCGGGGGAGGTGCACGCAGCCCAGCACTCGCACGTGAGATGAGCCCAGTGTCCCCGGGGACCTGGATCTTAAATTGCATTTAGTTTTCATTACTTAACATTTATGGGCCCCACATGGTTGGCAGCCACCCTGTGGGAGCTGCAGCCCTGGAGCCCCCAGAAGTGGCGACAGTGTGGCCTGGCTGGGCCTGGCTCCTGGGTCGTCACAAGCTCCAGGTTGGAGCACGGGGCTGGGACTGGGGCTGGGGCTGAGGCCTCTCCACCTTGTGAGGTTGAGCCCGATTGAATGACAGGGGGAGGAGCCCTTTGCAGCCAAGTTTCGGGGGGTGGGAGATGGCTGCGGGCTGTCTGCTGAGCTGCCCTGACTCTGGCTCTCCTTCCCAGGTACAGAGTCCCCTTCGGTCTCCTGCAGGGCCATCGGGGACCTGGGCAGCATGGCCCTCTCCGGCCCGGAGGTGGAGAAGCAGGTGCCGGCGGAGCCCAGGCGGGGCCGCAAGCTGCAGTCCTGGTGGAGCCTGGTGTTCTGCCTCTGCTTCTACGGCTTCATGGCCCAGATGCGACCCGGGGAGAGCTTCATCACGCCTTACCTCCTGGGCCCCGACAAGAACTTCACGCAGAAGCAGGCACGTGGGTGCGTGTGTGGGCGGGACGGGCCGGAGTGCGGGGGCTGATCGGGCTGCGGGCACTGGCGGCTACCAGGTCCCCGCTGTTAGAGGGATGGCGGGTCCGGCAGAGGGGTCCATGCCTGCCGTGGGCCTCTGAGGGGAGAGCGCAAGGGGGCCCCCGCCCGCCCGCTGGGCCCTTGCTTCCAGCAGAGGCCTGTTTGCCCAAAGGGATTACGGAAGGAATTTGCCTTTTGCTCAGAACAAGGACAAAGGATCTCATTGGAACCTGACTAATAAGCTTATACCCGATGGGAGTTTCTGGGGTCAAACGTGTAGTAGAAGCAGCAACAGGCAGTGTCCCTCCCTGTTTCTGTCTCCATAAAATAAAACAAATCCAAAGGGCTCAGAGGCCGTTGGTTGATGAAGCTCACGGTCAGGGCTGTGGTCACCACACCTGCTCGTCCTGCCTGAGGACCGCCCGCCACCCCAGAACCTGGCCCCGGCCCGCCAGCCCTGTCTGTCCCCTCCACGGTGGCCACCGGCCTCCACACCCCCTGTCGCTGGCCCCCGTTGGCTCCCACCTGGATTTCCCACTTGATTTCTTCAGGGAGCCCCTGCCTCTCCCTGGCCCAGAGCTCGGCCCCAACCCCTCACCGACCCCAGAATTAAGTCACATGGAGTTGCCGTGCAGATGAACCCCGCCCCCTCAAAGTAGTCCTCTTGGAAAATGGACACACCAGTGTGCCCGGGCCGCGTGCACAGGCTCAAAGCTGTGTGTATGTGATTGTGTCTGACCGCACGGCCAGCACTGCAGCCAGAGGGGTCACTTCCCAGGTGAGTCCGGGGTGGGGGCTTGCCTCCCTCGAGCAGCCGGTCTGGCACATCCCTCGCTCACTGATTGGCCAGTTCCCTGGACACCACTGTGTTCTGCAAGGGGCTGTCTTCCACTGCGGAGATGACGTAGGAGTGAGTGGGAAGCTCCGTGAAAATAACAAGAAGGAAAACCTGTCATGAACTCCCCCCACCTGCCCTCTTAGCTCACACAGTAACTGATTAAACAGTAGGTTGCAGAAATTAAGCCACCCCCCAGGCCTTGGACGTGACCAGAGGATGGCAGAGGCCCGTCTGGGAAGAGGCCAGTGGGTCTGTGGCCGTCCCACACAGATTCGGGCTGCTGCCGCCCAACTTGCATTCAGGACCTCAAACCTCAAACAGAGGGCCTGCCGGCCCCTGCCCCAGGGGTCTCCGGGGTCTCCAGCTCGTCCCTGGGGGAAACGCTGCTGCTGGTGGCCTCCTGCTGTGACCCCCTGAGCGCGAGGCTGCTGCCGGCTCCTCGGGCCAGCACCCGCGAGGCGCTGTTGAGTTCCTGCCCATCTGATAGATGGGAGAGCTTGCTGCTGGGTTTGCATTTCCTCAACGTCTGCCGCGGTCCCATGTTCCTGGCTGTCCCCGGAGCGAGGCCTCGGCCGGTCTCCCCCTCCCTGCAGGCGTCTGCCTTCCTATGCCTGGCGGGCTCCACCGCCTGTGGGCAGCGGCTTCTCCTGTCTGCGCTGGCCGCCTCCCCGCTTGCCTTGTCCGTTTATGCCGCAGCTTCGCCTTTGAATTCTGCCGGATTTTCCTTTCGGTTTGTGCTGAGTGTTTCCCCGCGTGCCACCGCCCCCGGTTCGTGGAGCACCTCCGGGAGGGTCCGAGCTTTGCTTTGCGCCTTTGGGCCTGTGATTCCTCTGCATCTGAGCTGCCTGGGTTGGGTCAGGCCCCCACCCCCTCCATGATGACCCCTGCCCTTCACATCATGACCCCTGCTGTGTGAAGGGCGCTTCACACAGCAGTCCTTCCAAGCCCATGGCTGACCCTGCCGTGCTGGCGGGATCCTCTGTGACGGCCCCTGTCCTGTCCTTCCTCCCCATCAGGCAGGACTCGGCGCCCCTCTGGGTGCTGCCAGGTGTTGACTCTAGGGGCTGCTCCTCTTGGAATTCAGGTCCCCTCTGGCCTGGTCTGGCCCTGCCCTGCTCCCCGGGTCCTGCCGGTCCTCAGGGCCCCCGGCGCCCCGTCCTGGTCCTGGCTGCTGTGGGGCCCCAGCCAGGCCTCCTGACTTCAGAGCAGCTGCTGCCCTGAAGCCACCTGGGTCATGACCTGGGCCCAGCTCCCACGTCCTGCCCATCAGCCTGGACCCGGCCCGTCCAAATCGAGGTGTTGGGAACGTGGCCCAGCGATGCTGGACCGAGGCCAGTAGGAGGCCGTCCTCGTGCCAGCTGCCCCAGGGACTTTGTGGGTGCCCGTGCTCCCAGCGCTTCACAGGTGTGACACAGGTCAGCCTCTCACCTGGCCTGTGTGCTTGCCCAGCCTGAGAAGTGTGGGCAGCGGCAGCAGGAGGGAAAGACCAGCTGGTCTCCCTCGGCTCTGACCCCGTGGCCCTTGCAGCTGTGCAAGCTGTCTGCCAAGAGGTTTCGTCAGCTAGCTGAGGGATGGTTTGACGTTCCAGGAATTTTCCGTAAACAAGGCTCTGACCCCTCTGGGACCAGCGTTGATTACTCATCCTGCCCCGGGGACGGACTTGCACCAATGCTGTCTTGGACTGTCCTGGGGCATTAGTGCTCAGTGTTTGGGGGACCACAGCCTTTGGGGTCAGCCATGGCTTCTGGTGGGCATGTGGTGCAGGAGGCCACCGGGCAGGGGAGCCCTGGAGGTGGTGGTTGTGCGTGCCAGCCCGGGGTCCTGGGCACACACTGGGAAGCGCTGCCCTGGGGCTGGCTGGTCAGGTGGCACATCCTGGGTGGACAGATTCGAGGGCTGCAGAAACCCGCAGGTGAGCCGGCCGCTAAGCAGTGGGCTTGGCTGGGCCCCACGTGCTGGCCTGGTCTCGGCCCCGGGTCCTCGGCAGCGTCTGTGAAGTGGGCCTCGGTGCCTGCTGGCCTTGCAGGGCTGAGGGCCCCCTGGGCTGGTGCAGGGATCGCCCCATGGTGTTAGCAGGTGGTCAGGCCTGAGTCAAGGTTAGCGCCCTGAGTCAGGTAGGACCCAAGGGAGGCCAAAGGCTCTGAGAGCCCAGCAGGGCCCGAGGCTCACCTGGTGCTGACCTGGCTGATCTGAGCCATGGCCGGGCCCTGGGCAGCGTCAGGTGGAATCCCTGGGTGGGGCTCTCAGTCGGAGCCCCTGGGAGGTGTCAGATGGGGTCTGATGCAACTCCTATGAGGGGCCACCTGCTGAAAACCCACCTGGGGCCTCAGGAGAGGCTCTGAGCACAGGGTGCCTCCCGTGTCCATCCCCCAGGAAGGGGCCAAGGCCAGGGACCTGGGCCTCTCGTGAGCTGGGACCTCTTGCTGGGGGCTGAGCCCAGGTGGGTCCAGGATGGCCCTTCCTGGGCGGCCAGGGGCACAGCTGGCTGTCATCCCAAGTGGGTCTGTGGCCCTGGCCTCTGCCCTGTGTGCCCAGCAGGGAGGGTCCTACTGGGCCAGCCCTCTTTGAGTGGAGAGCTGAGTGGCCGAGGCTGCGGGCAGCTCCCTTGGTGGAGCCGGGAGTCCTGGGTCCCATGGACGCATCCCCCTAGTCCTGCCTGGCAAAGGGGGGTTGAGGGCCCGGTCCTCTCCTGCATCCCCTGTGCCCTGGGACCGAGTGGGACCGGCCACTGAAGGCCTTCCTTGGCGGCCAGCATGAGTGTAGATTGGTCACAGCTCTGTTTTCTGTATCGGTAGACTTAAGGTGAAATCATATCATGTTTTCATTTCATTAGAAACAAGCCTGGATCAGCATGGCTTAGCATGTACTTACTGATTATTTTCAGCGTACTTACCAGCTCTCTGCGTGTGTCAGCACCGAGCTACTGTCTGAGAGGCACGCCCGTGGGAGATGAGGTCAGGGTAGAGCACGGTCGGGGGTCGGGCTGTGCTTTGCTCCATTTCCCTGGCTGCCCTGGACAGTCTTAACGGGCTGCACGTTTTTGGAGGACGGCGCTCCCCACGTAGTCCTGGTGGGGCGCCGCGCTAAAGGGGTGCGTGGGGTCCGGGTGGGGCTCCCAGGCACCCGGCCAAGCCCGGTAGATGTGATGGGCGCCGGGCGCTCCCGAGGCTCGGGGTCACACGCCTGCCGTCCCGCAGGTCACCAACGAGATCACGCCCGTGCTGTCCTACTCCTACCTGGCAGTGCTGGTGCCCATCTTCCTGCTGACCGACTACCTGCGCTACAAGCCGGTGCTTCTGCTGCAGGGCCTGAGCTACGTGTCCGTGTGGCTTCTGCTGCTCTTCGGCTCGTCAGTGCTGCACATGCAGTTCATGGAGTTCTTCTTCAGCATCACCATGGCGGCCCGCATCGCCTACTCCTCCTACATCTTCTCGCTGGTGCCCTCCGCCTGCTACCAGCGCATGGCCGGCTACTCGCGGGCCTCCGTTCTGCTGGGCGTCTTCACCAGCTCCGTGCTGGGCCAGCTGCTGGTCACGATGGGCAGGGTCCCCTTCTCCACGCTCAACTACATCTCGCTGGCTTTCCTCACCTTCAGTCTGGTCCTCACGCTCTTCCTGAAGCGCCCCGAGCGCAGCCTCTTCTTCAACCGCGGAGCGCCCGCGAGTGCCGGGGCCTCGCCCTCCGAGCTGGACCGGATGAACCTGGGTCAAGGGCAGCCCACGGGTGGGAAGCTGGGCCGGCTGCCGGCCTCCTGGCGGGACTCGGTGCTCGTGTACATGCTCCGCGAGCTGGGCCGCACCGCGCAGCTGCCGCAACTGCGCCTCTGGTCCCTCTGGTGGGTCTTCAACTCCGCCGGCTACTACCTGATCGTCTACTACGTGCACATCCTGTGGAACGTGGTCAACCCCACCACGGACACCACGAGGGTCTACAATGGCGGGGCGGACGCCGCCTCCACTCTGCTCGGTACGCCCCGCCTGCCTCACCCAGACAGCGGTGACCCGTGAGGCCGAGGACGGCGCTGACGCGTCTTGTCTCCCCAGGTGCCATCACCTCCTTTGCCGCCGGCTTCGTGAAGATCCGCTGGGCACTGTGGGCTGAGCTGATCATCGCGGTGGTGACGGTGCTGCAGGCCGGGCTGGTCTTCCTCATGTACAGGACCAGCAGCATCTGGCTGTGCTACTTGGCCTTCGTGCTCTTCCGTGGCTCCTACCAGTTCCTGGTGCCCATCGCCACGTGAGTCGGGCTGGTGCGGGGTGGCCATGTGGGACTGCTGGCAGGAGAGCCCCGAAAGACTGCAGCCGAGGGTGGGCAGCTGGAGGGTCGTGTGCTGTGTGTGTTGAGAGGCCTCCTTCCAGAAGGTTCCATGGGTAGCTGCAGGGGTATGTGCCGGGCAGCGTGGAGCAGGTGTGCTGGCACGTCACTCACATCAGGAGGCACGTGAGCCCTGGGTGCCTTTAGCCAGGGCCCCGCTCGTCCACAGCGTGCCCCGTCCTGGCCACCGGGATCGCAGGGCTGGGTAAGGAGCCATGTGGGCATCCCCTTTGCTCCCCTCTTGAGCCACGGTGTCCACAGGGACCGGACCTCGGGAAGTCCTTTCTTCCAGCCTCCTGGCCCTGCTGTCCCATCCTGGGCCATTCCTGTCCCCTCCCACTCCTGCTGCTGGGCACAGCGGCCCACAGCCCAAGAGTGACTGGGTGACCCAGCTTGCCTTCTGCCCGGGGGAGCCCTTCCCCTGACGCCCCTGTGTTCCTCACACTCCTGGGGATGCTCCAGCACTGGCCCGGGGACATCCCGGGAGCTGCCTGCCGACCACCCGTGCCTTCCAGAACCTTCCTCAGCCCGCATCTCGCTGGCTTCTGACACCCTCGTACACCCTTTGAATTGGACCTCTCACGAAGCTGCACACGTACACCATGTGTTCACCCCAGACACGTGCTCACACCGTACGTGTTCACACCGTAACATGCCCTCGTGCCACACACAGCACACATGCTCAGGACACCTACTTACACCTCCTGCACCTGGCAGGTGTCCTGTCATTGTCTCCAGCTGTTTGGCCCTAGCTCCCCTCCAAGCCCCATCTCCCTGGGGGCACCTCCCTCCCCACTTGGACTGTCCACTCCGGTCACGCCCAGCGAGATCTGTCCCTGCCTGGTGTTGAGCTCAGACCGTGTCCTCAAACTCCTGACCCTCTGCAGCCGTCGCCCCGCAGTGTGGTGGCCTGATTCCCCTGAGCCGTCTCATAGGAGCGCCTGGCACCCAGCGTCCCTCTCCTGCCCTGGGCTGCGTCCTTCCTTTCCTCCCCGTCAGGGTCAGTGCTGCCCAGACACCCCAACTACCCTGGCCCTGCTCTCTTGATTTCTGCTCCTAATGCCCCCCTGCCCGCGTGGCCATGGCTGTGGCCTGGACTCCGTGCACACTGGACGCTGTGTCCTCCCCTCCTGACACTCAGCCTGGAAACGTCCCACCTGTCCCGTCACTGTCAGCGTTTCGGAACGGGCACCAGGGCCGTGGGTGTCTTTCCTTCTCCCAGGACCACTTAGTGTCTCACGTGTTCTTGTTAACTGTAAAAGCCATAGATGTTCGTGGCAAAAAGATCCGATACGATGCAGAAAAGGTCAAATGTGAGGCAGAAAGGCGTGAAGGAGACAGCAGACCTCCTCAGACCCCAGCCCCCGTGGCTGACGTGGGTATTGGGCTGCCTGGAGCAAGCCGGGGTCACTCTGCACCCCTGCCCCTCGTAACCGCGTGGCTCCATGTCAGAGGGCATTGTCATCGGTCCTCCTGGTGATAAGGCCCCTGTCTCCGATATCTTCCCGTGACAGACAACATGGGAGCCACCCCCTCTCACCTACATTTTTCTTCCCAAATTCTGATAATGGCCTCAGGTGGGTCCTGGAAGGGAGCCGGCCAGGTCAGAGGGCACGTGCTTTGGAAGGGGGTTTCAGAGATGTCGCAGACGCTGTCCAGGCAGGCACACAGCCCCTGCGGGTGGTGGAGGGCGGCCTGCGGGCCAGTTGCCTTTCCCTGATGTCCTGCCCAGTTTATACCCGTGGCTTCTTTTTCTGCTGGGATTTCTTTTTTCCTGATTATCTGCAGTGCGCTTACCTCTACCACATGTGACGGGAGCCTGTTATTATGTGTTGCCGTGTTACCGTTTGCTTTAATCTGACTCTCGGAGTTCGCGCAGCACTACCTGAGTCAGTTGTGTGTGTGGTGTGGCGTTCTGCCCGCGCCTGCGGGACCTGGCCCAGCGCCCGCTTCCCGGGAGTTAACCTGCCGTCGGGGACCTTTGATCCACCGGCTGTCTTCTCTTAGTTAGTGCGCCGTTTGTCACGTGACTGCTCATCCTTGCACTTCGTGTACTGCCCCCTCCCCCTGAGCCCCCAGCAGAAGCTCCTCGGTCATTCTCTGTAAAGGCTTCGTGGGTATTTTTGTTCATTTATTCTTCAGAACTGACACTTCTTGATCAGTTTTTTCTGTTTTTTTTAAAGGCACTTTGGGGCTTTTAATTGGAAGTATGTTCAAATGTTAATTTCTCTGCCGGGCACCGCAGGCTCTGAGCGTATTAATTCCTCTTGCCTTCTTTATTTGTTTTACGGTTCTTTCTATAATTTACTGAATCATTTAACGACAAAGGACTTTAATCCCGGAATTTTCCTCGTACTCTGTCCGTGCAGTGCCCCATCTGTTAATGCCCGGCTCTCATGAGGCTGATTTTCTGGGAACCCTGTAGTGATTATGACTTACTCTGTCCTGGAGTTACCAGGAGACTTCAAGCATCTCCCGAGGTTGCCTTCTGCACCTGGTTTTGCACTCGCTTTGTGAGTCGTTGCAGGAGGACGTGCCAGGTCAGGACGCAGCCCCAGAGCAGTAGGCAGCCTGGGCACTGGGCGGGTCTCGCCTATGCCCTGCGGCTGTTCCCGGTGGCCCGGGAGCGCTGCCCCGCACCTGGGCCGTCTGCGCCTGTGCGTGCACCTCGCTCCCAGCAGGGTCTGACCTCGCCGCTTCCCCGTTAAGTTTTCAGATCGCGTCTTCTCTTTCTCAAGAGCTCCGCGCCCTTGTCTTCGGAGTCAACACGTTCCTCGCCACTGTCCTCAAGACCATCATCACCCTCGTTGTCTCCGACAAGCGGGGCCTGGGCCTCCCGGTCCGCTCTCAGGTGAGCCCCCGTTTTGGGCTCACTTCCTTGAGGAGGGAAGGCTCTGGGGCGTGTCCTGGCCAGGCCTCCTCGTGGCCACGCAGCCAGTGGTGTTGCCTGTCCCGGGACCCAGACCACAGACCCGCTGAGGGTGGGGCGTCTCCATCCAGACCCCCTGGACTGAGCGGGAGCAGGGAGGGAAGGGTCAGAGGGCCAGGTGGCAGGGGCCACAGTCCGGCCTGTGCGGCTCCCTGCCAGGGCTGAGTTTGGGGCTGTAAGTGCCGCCCGCATCTGGGCAGTGCGGTGGGCATGCGCGGTCGAGTGTGGCGAGACCTCTGGGGCCTCCAAGGCTGGCCTGGGTGCAGGTGGCTCTGGAGGCACTCTCACCGGCCCTGGGCGCCCCCTGCACTGGCTGAGGTTCCCAGAGGGACAGAGGCGTGGCCGAGCATCCCCTGTGCCCTCGTTCAGGTCCCTGCCTGTGACGGGTCCTGGCTCACGTGGCAGCCGTCTGTCTCCTCTGTGGGGGACAGCAGGGAGTGGAGCTCATGGGGTTGACGTTGGCGCCTGCTGGCCCCTTTCCCGGCCCCTCCCTCCATCCAGTCCTAGGCGGGTCCTCGGTCTTCCAAGAAGAACTTGAGAATTCCTCTTCGCTGTGAGACTGGGGGCCACTCGGGCATGTGACTCCCAGTGGCCTCACCCAGGGCAGGACCAGTCTTGAGTGAGCTGGAATTAGCCAGAGGATGGTCCCGTGGGAGGGATTGTCATCGGGCTCGCCTAGGGATCGTGCCCCGCCCTCTGCCTGTGGGACGCAGCCTCCATCTGCTGGGAGCCCAGACCTCCCTGGGGCTTGTTCGGCTCCGTGGAGAAGTCCCAGCCCTCCGTCCGAGGTGCCTTGGTGATCCCAAAGCTGGCCAGGAAGGAAGTCCCAGGCATGAGAGACCCTCTTGTTCAGAAACTGGCTGTCTGGATGGGGTTTGGACATCCATTTTGGTGAAGGACATCAGAGCCTCTGGTCCTTTGTGTCCACATGGGCAGGCAGGTCTTGGCCCTTGGTCACCAGTGGGGCCCTCCAGGGACACTGCCCCATCCACCCCAGGCTGAACACTGGGGACTGTGGCTGAGCAGGGTGGCCAGGCTGGACTCAGGTCCACAGGGGCATGTGCCACTGCACCTACGGGGTGGGTGGGAGGGGTTGTCCGGAGAGCACAAGGCCTGTCGTCCAGAGGTGGCGGGGCTGGGGCCTCCTTCACCGGGGACCCTCCAGGGGAGGCCCCTCCCCCAGAGCGGTGGCCTCGCAGGGGAGCATGTTGTCCCCTGGCCTTTCCATGGGGCCTTGCCTGGCAGCCGTCCAGCTGGCCTGGGAGGGGCCCCAGTACCTGGGGGAGCCTCTCCGTCCCTGGAGCCCTGGGTGTCCCGGCTCTGGGCAGTGGGGCTTCCGAGGGCCCAAGGCGGGGGGCAGGGGCTGGGCCTTCCTCGCCTGACCTGGCCCCAGCCCCTTCCACGTGACAGGTTCTGGCCACGCTGGGTCAAGCTGACGACAATATATTGATTTTTCTCCTGCTGGATTAATTTCCTGGTTAAAAGGTAACTCTAGAGGTTGGTTCGTAGCTAGAAATCCTGGTGGCGTCCAGAAGGAAAGTCGCCCTGGCTCGTCCTACTCACCTTCCCTGCACGTGGTGTTCTGGGTGCCCCCTCCCTCAGTCCCGGGTGGCGAGAGTGGGGCAGAGCCAGTGGTGGGAGCCAGCACGGAACAGGCAGGGAGCTGGCCTGGGCTGGCTGGTCTTTTAAGTTGAACTCTACTTCTGGGTCACCACACACTCACCTGTGGGGTAACAGGTGATGCAAAGACTCACGTACCTGGTGTGGGCCCAGCCTCCCCACCAATCACGTCCTGCAGTTCTGCGGTGCGGGCACTCTCGGGATACGGACCGTGCACAGTCGAGACGGGAGTATCCCTCCCTGCCCCCTGCGGCCACGCCAGGCCCCCACGCTGCCTCCTCCCTGACCCCTGGCCACCACGGTCTGCCCCCCATTTCTATAGCGTTGTCATCGCGAGAGTGGGACCCTGCAGCTGTGAGTCGGGATTGCCTTCCCCACTCAGCCCAAGTCCTGGAGATGCGTGGCTACTTCACTCCGATCCTTTGCTACATGGGGCTCCGCGGTGGTTGGACCACGGCTCATTTACCCACTCACCACCAAGAGCCCTGGCTTTATCCGGTTGGGGGCTGCTCTAAACATTTGTTTATAGCTTTTTGTGTGAACGCAGTTTTCCATTTCTCTGGATAAATGCCCTGAAGTACAGTTGTTGAGTCACGTGGTGGCTGCCAGACTGTTTTCCACGGTCGCTGCACCATTTAACATTCCCACTGGCCTGCCTGAGGGATCCGGGTTCCCCACATTCTCATCAGCGTTCAGTGTGGCCACCGTTTCTGTTCGGCCATTCCGAGCCGTGTGGAGGGCTGGTGGTCCCTGTGGTTCCATTTGCATTTTCCCTGGTGGCTGTGACGCTCTTCTCCCCACGTGCAGCTGCCATCTGTACATCCTCTTTGGTGAAGTGTTTCTTCACTTTTCTGCCCATTTCCTAATTGGCTCCTTTGGTTTTTTTTTTTTTGCGGTACGCGGGCCTCTCACTGTTGTGGCCTCTCCCGTTGCAGAGCACAGGCTCCGGACGCGCAGGCTCAGAGGCCATGGCTCACGGGCCCAGCCGCTCCGCGGCATGTGGGATCTTCCCGGACCGGGGCACGAACCCGTGTCCCCTGCATCGGCAGGCGGACTCTCAACCACTGCGCCACCAGGGAAGCCCCTCCTTTGTTTTTTCACTTGAGTTTTGAGAATGTCTGTGTATTCTAGATAGTAGTCCTTTGTTGGATGTGTGCTTTGCAAAGGCTTCTCCCTGCTCGTAGCTCACCATCTTATCTTCCTAATAGGGTTGTTTGTAACATAAGTTTTTAATTTTGATGAGGTCTGATTTATTCATTTGTCCTTTTGTGGATCTTAGTTTTGGTGTCACATATAATAACTCTTTGGCCCTGGGTCCCAAAGATTTTCCCCAGCATCTAAGTCTGTGACCTGTTTTGAGTTAATTTTTGTGCTTACAACATTTCATTCCTCTGTCTGTGGATGTCTGGTTGCTCTAGCACCATTTGTTGAAAAGACTGCATTGCTTTCCACCACTTGCGTGAGTCTGTTTCTGGGCTCTCTGCTCTGTTGAGCTATGTGCCTACCCTCCCTCCACCACCACACTGTCTTGCTTGTGTAGCTAGGTGGTAAGTTTTTGAAATTTGGTACACCGATTCCTCCAACTTTGAAATTAAAAAAAAAAATTATTTTAGCTATAATACTTTCTTTGCCTTTCCCTATAAATTTTAGAGTAATCATGTGTATATCTACAAAAATTTTTGCTGGGCTTTTCTAGGAATTGCATTAAGCCTGTTTATCAATATTGGGAGAATTGACATCTTCTACTATGTAGACTCTTCCAACCTGTGAACATGGTATGTCTCTCCATTTACTTAGAACTTTGATTTCTTTCAGCATTTTGTAGTTTTCAACATGCAAGTACTGTAGTGCTGTGCATGTTTTGTTAGATTTATTCCTAAGAATTTCATTTTTTTTTGAGCAATTGTAAATGATACTGTATTTATAGCTTTGGTGTCTGCATTAATCTTCTAGGGCTGCCATAACAAAATATCACAGGCTGGGTAGTTTATGCAGCAGAAATTTATTCTCTCACAGTCTGGAGGCTGGAAGTCTGAGATCAAGGTGTCAGCAGGTTTGGTTTCTCCTGAGGCCTCTCTCCTCAGCATGCAGACGGCCGTCTTCTCCTTGTGTCCCCATGTGGTCTTTTCCTCGGTGCGTGTGCACTCCTGGTGTCTCTCTCTTAGAAGGAGTCCTACTGGATTAGGGTCCCACCCTCATGACCTCATTTAACCTTAATCATTCCTGAAAGGCCCCATCTCTAAATACAGTCACAGTGGGGCTTGGGGCTTCAACAAATGAATTTGGAGGGACGCAGTTCAGCTCATCACAGTGCCCAGGTGTTCACTGCTAGTACAGGCAGACCTCATTTTATTGCACTCCACTTTATTGTGCCTCACAGGTACTGACTTTTTTACAAGTTGAAGGTTTGTGGCAACCCTGCATTGGTCAGATGACAGCATTTTTTAGCAATAAAGTATTTTTATTAAGGTGTGCACACTGTTGTTTTTAGACATAATGCTATTGCACACTTAGTAGACTATAGTATAGCATAAACATAATTATTATATGCCCTGGGAAACCAAAAAATTTGTGTGACTTGCTTTATTGCAATATTTACTTTATTGCGGTGGTTTGGAACTGAACAATATCTCTGAGGTCTGCCTGTATAAGAAATACACTGATGTTTGTGAGTTAACCTTGTATAGTCTTGCTGAGGTCACTTATTAGTTCTGGGAGGTTTTTATTTTAATGTTTTTTATCTATTTTTCTTGCCTTACTGTTACTGGCTAGAACTTTTGTCCTTATTATTTCCTTCTTTCTACTTGCTTTGGATTTATTTTGCTCATCTTTCTCTAGGTTCTTTAGATGGGAGCTTAGATAAATCGTATGAGAATTCTTCTTTTCTGATATTTCCATTTATTGCTATACATTTCCTTCTCAGCCTGCTTTAGCTACACCCCACAGATTTTGATATGTTGTATTTTCTTTTTCATTCATTTCTATGTATTTCTATCTCCTTTCATACTTTCTAGTTGACCTATGATTATTTCAAAGTGTGTTGTTTATTTTCCAAGTGTTTTGATATTTTCCTGTTATCTTTCTGTTATTGGTTCCTATTTTGATTATGTTCTATTGTGATCAGAGAACACAATCTGTATTATTTCAATTCTTATAATTTGTTGAGGTTTGTTTTAAGGGCCAGGACATGCCCTATCTTGTTATAAGCTCCATGTACACTTGAAAAGAATGTGAATTCTGCTGTTTTGGGGTGGAGTGTTCCATAAATATCAATAAGGTCCTATAGTCAATGGTGGTATTGCTTTCTTCTCTATGCTTATGGATTTTTTTGTCTGGCCTATTGTTGAGAAGGGGTGTTGAGGTTTCCATTTATAATAGTGACTTTGTCTATTTCTCCTTTCAATTCTGTCGTGTTTTTGCTTCATGTTTTTGCAGCTTTCTGTTGCATACACATACACTGGATGTCTTGGTGGATTGAGCCTTTTATCATTATGTAATGTTCTTCTCTGCCTGTGGTCATTTTCTTTTCTCTGAAGTCTACTTTACCTGATATTAATATAGCCATTCTGCTTTCCTTTGGTTAATGTTTACATGACTTATTATCTTCCATCCTTTTACTTTTAACTTGACTATATTGTTATACCTGAGTTTCTTGTAGATAGCTTATGGTTGTCGTCATGTTTTTTTAATCCACTCTGCCAATATCTGTCTGTAATTGGTTTATTTAGACCATTTATGTTTAGTGTAATTGTTGATGTATTAGTCCTTATGTCTGCCATTTCAGTTTTTGTTTTCTTTTTATTCTCTCTGCCTTTTGTTTCTGTTTTCTTTTTTTGTGCCTTCTCATAGATTATTTACAGATTCTTCAGAATTTCATTCTGGTTTATCTGTTGTATTTTTGAGTGTATCTCTCATGGTAACTTTTTTGATGGTTGCTTTGTGTATTAAATGGCCAGTTGTAGAGAAGTATTGAAATCTCACCTCCTTTAGGTCACTTTTCTCTCTACTGCTTAAGTACAAGTGTCTTACTTATTTCTTCTGTATACCATTAGAGCCACCTAAGATAGGATAATAAGTTTTGCTCCAGCTGTCAAACATTTAGGAAACTGAAGAGAAGGAAAGTCTATATACCCACAATTTCGATCACTGTGTTCTTTCTCCTTCTTGATGTTCCAGGTTTCTTATCATTTACTTTCTGTTTAGAGAACCTCCTTTAAGCATTCTTTTAAGGCAGGTCTGCCGGTGACAAATTGTTTTTAGTTTTTCTTTATCTGAGAATGTCTTGATTTATTTTTCATTCCTGAATTTTTCAGTATGAGAAAAATTTGTCATATCCTTGTGGCCTTCCTGGTTTCCGATGAAAAATCCACTGTTGTTCTAATTATTTTTCCCTTAAGGTGTCATTTTTTTTTTTCTGGCTGCTTTCAAGATTTTTCCTTTTTCTTTAGCTTTCAAAAATTTGAATATGGTGTGTGTTGGTCTGATTTGGGGGTGTTGTCTTGTTTGGGGTTCTCTCAGCTTCTTGAATCCATAGGTTTATGTCCCTTGCCAAACTTGGGAAGTTTTCCCAGTCATTATTTCCTCAAGTACTTTTTCAGCCCTTCTTTTTCTTTCTTCTTATTTTACACCTATGACAGTGTTACATTTTGTCCCCTGGAGAATGAGGCTCTGCTTTTTTTCCCCATCTGTTTTCTCTTTGTTGTTCAGATTTGGTGATTTCTATTGTTCCATCTTCCAGTTCACTGATTCTTTTCTCTGTGCCCTCTATTCTGTTGTTGAGACCATTTGCTGAGTATTTATTTTGGTTATTATATTTTTCAATTGTAGCTTTTCTTCTTTATCTCTTCTGTTTCTTTTCTGAGACTTTTTGCGTTTGTCTCAAGCATGTTTGTTATTGCTTGATGAAGCATTTTTACGGTGACTACTTTAAGATCCTTCTCAGATAACTGTAACATCTCTGTCATCTTGGTGTGGGTGTCTGCTGATTGTATTTCATTCATTTAGAGATCTGTGTGGTTGTAAGTATGCTGAGTGATTTTTTTTAATGAAACCTGTACACTTTGGCTATAATATTTTGAGACTCTGGCTCTCATTTAATCCTTCTGTTTTAGCTAGCTTCTCCTGACACCAGCCTAGCGGAGGACTAGGGGCATGCACCTCGTTATAGCCAGGTGGGGTGGGATTCTAGGCTCCCCACTCAGCCCTCCTCATGCTGAGGGGTGGGGTGGGGCTTCTCCTTACTGCTGGGCAAGGAAGGGAGTGCCAGCTCCCCACATGGCCTGCAGTGGTCAGGAGGGCCATGGTTGCCTCATTACTGCTCCCCACGTGGCCTCCAGTGACACTGGTGGGGGAGGAGCATTCTCACTGCGGCTGGGTGGGGTAAAAGTCCTGACTCTTCAGGGAGGGGAGGCACCACCTGGGGGGAGTGAAAGTGCAGGCTTTCCATGTGGTCCCTATGGGGGTGGACATTCCAGCTTCCCACTGGGCCCTGACCAACACCACCCGATGGGGGTGGGGGGTGTACAGCCTGGGTCATGAGGGTGGGGTCTGGCTGGAGGAGCGGGGCTCCCACTCATCAGGGTCCTGTCCTGCTGGGCGGGTGGGGGTCCCTCTCCTGCTCCTTTGGGCGCAGCAGCTTTTGTTGAGTGTTTTTTTCTGTTTCCTGGTATTTCTGGTTTGTGGGCTTCTTTGGTTCCTTTAAAAATACTTGCAGCAGAAAGAAAAGAAGCCCAGGGAGCACATTGCCGTGGTGCTCCTTGGATTCCAAGGCCCCAGCTAGTCTGCCCCCATCCGCTTTTCAGAGGCACCTTCTGTGTGTCGTCTGTGCAGTGTCCAGGGTTCTAATCGTACTTGCGAGGAACAGGCAAGTCACTCCAGCTCCATCCTCCCGGAAGCCAAGTCCCCAACGTTTCATCGCCTGGTTTTGCTTCTGAAAATGAGCTTTCCCAGAAGGGCTGAGCACGCAGTGCTGAGGGGTTCTCGGGGAGGCCACTCGGGGCAGCTGAGCCCCGGGGCCGTGGGCGGGACTCACGCTCGTCTGGCCCACACGCGAATGAGACCACCCTGGACCCCCTGCCCCCTGCGGTCTGAGAATCGGGGGAGTTTCCCGTGTGCTGGGCACTCCTCCCTGTGCATCACCGCTGTGCAGCTTCACTGGTCCCGGGGTCCAGGGCTGCGCTGCCCTGGGGCCACGGGGGCTGCGGGGGCCGGGAGACCTGGGCGGCCTGTTCTCCTCCACCAGCCTCCGCCTGCACAGGTGCCCTCCGTGAGGACTTGGCCCCAGAGCCAAGTGCACATTTGCTGTCACGCAAGGTGATCAAAGTGCTACGGGGCAGATGGCGGAGGCGCAGAAGTGCTGGGTTTGCAAAAGCTCTGCTGGGTGGGTGGAGGCTGGGCCCTGCTCCGGCCTCCACGACCCCTGGGTGCCCCCGCCCGCCTCACCTGCACCCTCTCTGTTCCAGTTCCTCATCTACTTTGTGTACTTCCTGGTGCTGTTTGTCGCCTATGTGCTTGCGGCCTTGCTGACGGGCCTGCGCCACTTCCGACAGGGCCGCCGCCAGCCCCCGCCACCGGCCCGGGAGCTGACGAGTCCGATGCAGGAGCCGGACGCGCAGGACAGGCTCGCCCCAGAGGACGGCGTGCGAGCCATGGGGGAGCAGAGGCAGCAGCCCGAGGCCAAGGCCTGACCCTGCGCGACCTGCTCTCCCGGCTGGTGGGCGGCCAGGTTCCTGACACCAGACGCAGCGGGCCTGGGCCTTGACCTCAGAGCTGACACGTCCCCAGCAGCTGCCTGTCTTCTGGGTGTCAGCAGCCAGGTTCCGGCATCGTCCACATCGTCAGATGGTGGCACCGGTGACTGACAGGCCCCCGGTGCTCTGTCGCTGAGACCCAAGCCTCGGGGGCCTCCAGCCTCCATGAGGGGTCCTCGGCTCACCCCAAGCGGGGCACTTCTCAGCCCTGCTTCACGCCCTGGCTGTGACCCGCGGCCTGCTGGGGACGCTCAGGCAGCTGCCTGGCCATTGGGGGCTGCTTTGCTGTCCCTGCCTACACGTGACCAGTGTGGGGGGTCCACGTGCACGCCAGACCTCCCTGCTTTCACCCCCTCGTCCCGGGGAAATGGCAAGGTGGTCCTAGACGCGAGCCCAGGGGACCCGGTGCCCACGGGGTGACCCGGGCCCTGGGGGTGGGGGCCATGTTCCTGAGCCTGTGGCTGAACTGTGACGTCTGCAGTTGTCCAGGTACTTTCGTTGTAAACGATGCTCTGTTCCATTTTTTGGAAAAAAAAACCTGACAAAAATGAGGACCCTGTTCTGGCTTGTTTCTGGGGGAGAAGTGGGGCGCTGGGGGTGGCGGTTCCGTCGGGTGGAAGCCCGGGAGCACCGGCTCCTCCGCTCTGGGCTTCGCTCCAGGTCCTCTCTGCCCTGCGATCCGGAGCTGGGTGGATGCTGACCCGCTCCCGGTGGTGGGGGCCGCTCACGCGCCAGCCCCCGGGGGACTTGCCCACGTCACCCGGGCACTGCCACCGGGCCCGAGAGCTGGTCGTGCTTCCTCTGACACGTGACACCATCCGCTTGGCCCCAGGCACGTGAAGCAGACGCACAGCCCGAGTGAGGGGACCCCTGACTCCACGCATCCATCCGGTCGAGAGGGTCTCAGCCCTGCCCCCCAGCAGGTGAGGACCCAACCCCGTCCTGAGCTGAACCCGTCCCCTCCCATGGCCTCCGGCCCTCACCCAGGGTCTTCGGGAAAGGCCGCTGCTGTGAGTTCAGAGCAGGACGCTTGGTGGAGGAGGGGCCGGAGCTGGCTGCCCCCTGGGACCCCCGAGGTCGGGTTGGGTGAGCAGGGCGTCTCGGGGCACCCTGAGGGTCAAGGAAGAGGCTGTACACACAGCTTGACTCAACTCACGGCCGTTGGTGTGGGTCAGATAGGTCAGGTGGTCCCCAGGCGCCTCCACACAAGACACCACAGCCGACCCCAGGGCGCTGCTGGGAAGGGGCAGCACCCCCTCCATGCTCAGGGAGCTGGCGGGGCTTGATGGGTGGAGGAGGCTCGCCTCTGGCTACTGACCCAGGAGGCAGGGCTCTGCTCGGTGCCCCCCGTGAGCACGACCCAGCGCCCTGGTCTCCCGCCTCTGCCTGCTCCCCCTGCAGCCTCCCCACAGGTGCTGGTCCCCCCACTCGGCCTCTGCCACCCCTGGTCCCGAGCCCCTGGGGCACCACTGAGCCCCTGCCCTGTGCAGTGTGCACAGCCCCTCGGGCTCAGACATCTGCCACAGCTGTGGGGGGCACGGGGGCCGGGGCCGGACCACCTACCCGGCTCCGAAGAGCTTGTGAGGCTGCTGGCCACTGCCAGGGAGACCCTGAGAGAGAAGAAAGGTGTGGGGCGCCTGTGGCATCCGTGGACAGCCGTGTACATCCATGTGTATCTGTATCTCACATCCGTGTACATCTGTGTACACCCATGTGTATCTCACACCCATGTATATCCACTCACATCTATGTGCCTCTGCGTTTATCCATGTACACCCATGCACAGATGTGTATATCTGCACACGTGTGTCTATCCATGTACACCAGCACACACCCATGGTGGCCCTCCATATGCGGGCATTCCACATCTGAGGATTCAACCAACTGTGGATTGAAAATATTTTTTTCTAAATTCCAGAAAGTTTCAAAAAGCAAAACTTGAATTGGCCATGTGCCAGCCACTATTTACATGGAATTTACATTGTATTTACAACTGTTTATATAGCATTTTTCTTGTGTTAGGTATGATAAGTAACCTGAGATAAATTAAAGCATACAGGAGGATGTGCATAGGTTGTGTGCAAGGGTCCTGAACACCCGCAGGTTTGGTATCTGAGGGGGTCCTGGAACCAACCCCCCACGGGTAGAGAAGGACGACCATGCATCTGGGAACCCACGTGTGTTCATGTGCATCCGTGTACATCTGCACACCTGTGTGTATCCGTATACCTCTGCGTATACCTGTGCACACCTGTGCTCCTTTAGCAGGATTGGCCACCTGGGCCGTCCAGAACAGAGACTCCCGAGGACTCGTGACAGTGAAAGCTGCTTGCAAACCAAGTGTCAGTGTAAATGGTCATTTTTATTTGGCGCCTGTTTGGAAACCACAGACACAGTTCACAGGACCAGCCCCTGCGGTTTACAGTCACAGCGCCTGGACAGCAGACCCTGGGGCAGCTGGGCTGTGGGCCACCCCGCCAGCTCCCCTGGAGATGCCCGTGCGCACCCGCAAATGTCCCCTTCACTCCTCCCACAGGGAGGGCAATGGCGTGGGTTTGCCCCAAGACGTGCTGCTACAGACAGTGGTGAGCAGGGTCCAAGCACGCGTGGCCCGCCTGTGAACACAGCCCAGCCCTGCCCTGGGCCGGCCCAGCCCCTCCATGCAGCCTCGCCCATCCCGGGGCTCAGCTGGGCAGCCTGTGGGCTCTGTCCTGGCGGGGGGCACGTGTGGCCTTTTGCCTCCGAGGGCTTCTGCCTCTCTGTCCTGCAAAGGTGAACCCAGGGCCTTGGTGCCAAGCTCAGGAGGAGGCAGGTCTGACCCAGGACTTGAGGCAGCCTGAGTCTGGGCTCAGTTGGGTCCCCAGACATGCTGCTGGGCAGAGCTGGTCAGGCATTGGAGTCAGGGAAGGAGTGCCCGGTGTGAGGTCTGGGCCCAGGGACCCGGTGCTGGTTTATGGACCCCAAAAAGCTCTCCCAGTACAGTCCGGGCCGGGCCAGGCTCTGTGCCGGTGGGACCTCAGGGGACACGGGAAGCCAGAGTGGGACAGAGAGGACCGCAGACAGGCCCAAGTGGTGGGGCTGGCCGCACACAGCAGCACCAGGAGCCCCGGGGGTGTGCGGGGGGGGGGGGGGGGGGGGGGCTTGAGCTTGGAACCTTGCACCCAGGGGAGTTGCTGCCAGAGGCTGAGAGGAGGTGGTCTCCCCTGGCACCGCGCGTGGCCCAAGAGTGGGCCGGCCAGCTCGAGAGAGGGCAGGAGGGAGGCCCCAGCGCCTCGTCGCGGCTGCCCTGCAGACAGGCCTGGCATTGGCGCCACAAGGCTTTCTGGGCAGGAAACAGAGCCACTAGCACCTGCCCGGGCGGTTGGGGGCCCCACTCGGCACCCAGGAGGCCTCTCCCCAGGCCTCTCCTCTTGCCTAAATGGGCCAGGTCCACCCCCTGGTCTGATTCGGGCCAGGAGGGCAGCACAGGCACCGAGGCTCTGGGGGAGAGGCGGGTGGGGGGAGACTCTGGGCACCAGGCTGTCGTAAACTTTTTAAAAAATACACTCTTTGGCTTCTTTTTATTTCTGGAGGATTACATGAAACGTGAACCATACAGGAAAGTGTCCCAGCCAGGTCCCCGCCCTGGGTGCCAGCAGAGGCTCCCTGCGCGGGCCAGGGGCGTGTCCGCTCCCCTGCCTGCCGCCTGGCTCTTCTCCGGCCCTCTGTCTGTGCGTCCATCTGTCCATGGCGCCAGCAGAGGCCCTACTTGGAGGAGGAGGTCATGAAGCTGTTCTCGATGCAGAGGACGATGAAGGCGTTGTAGCAGCTCGCCGCTTTCTGCTCCAGCAGCCGGCCCGCCAGCAGCGAGGAGGCCTGGCCCGTGGCTGCCCTGGCCTCGGTCCGCCACGTCTCACAGTAGCTCTCCGTCAGCCGGCGCCCGCTGGGGTCCGAGCCGTGCCACAAGCTCTTCTGGGGCCTGCAGGAGGCAGCGGCCGTCAGTCTCAGCGGGGGCCACCCCCACCCCACGCTGGAGGCCGCCCCAGGCAGGACAGGGCGCCTCCCAAAGGCGGAGGTTTGGCGGGATGCGGGGGCCGCTGGGAGGGCAGGGACTCGGGTGGCCGGGAGTCAGGCCAAGCTCGTCTTGGGCGCTCAGCCTCCCAGGTCACACCCCGTCCTGCTGCTGCTTTTGGGGGCACAGCCTGGCCAGCAGCGCCCGGTGACCTCGAGGGCTGACCCTTCGGGGCCTGGCTGGGCCTGGCTTCGAGGGCCCGTGCTTCGTAAAGCCCATCTCGGTGCGGCCTCCTCGCTGGGAACGAGGCGCAGGCCTGGAGCCCACAGCCCTGCCCGAGGCTCCCACACGGGCCGGAGCACGGCCCTGGGCGGTGCTCCTCGGTGAGGGCAGGGACGCGGGCTCGTCTGAGCCCCTGAGCCCCCGAGTATTGGGGAACAGGGGCCTCACACCTGCAAGCAGGGGCACGATGGGCGTGAAGCCGACCTGAGGGCAAGCTAGTGACTTCTGTCAGCGTGTCAGGTAGGCACGCATGTTCTCCGCCCCAGAGGTTCCACGTTGAGGAATTTATAGAAGTAATGCGCTGTGATGTCTATGTGACAGACAGAGGGGGCTGGAGCCTGTCTCCCCAGCAGGAAGTTGGGGGCACTTGCCCGGGGAAGCAGGCCAGGTGAGGGTGTTTCAGGTAACACCGCAAACGACGCTCTACTCTTCCTCCTGTGCTTTTGGATTTGGGGAGTTTTAAGCCGCGAGCGTGTTCCAGGATTGGGTCAGCCTGGAGGCTCAAAGCCAGGAGCGTTGCCCCTTTGCTCAGGGCTCTTGCATCCAGAGAGGCCCCAAGCTGCTGTGCCCACACAGCGGACCTACCAGGCGGGGTGCTGTAGGACGTCTCTGCCGTCGAAAGAGAAGATGCGGGCACCGGGCTTCAGCTGGCCCTCGGAGCCCGAGAACAAGGCCTCCCAGCTGGGAGACAGCACCTCATCCTGCGGAGGGAAGCGGGGTCATCCCGTCTCTGGTTATCTCCTGCCAGAGGGACAAGCTGCCGAGGGGGTCTCGGCAATGCCCACGCCTGCCCAAGGGGTCTCCCGCCCTCTCCCAGGAACGCGGGGCACCCGCCCCCAGCCCTGGACCCTGGGCCAGAGCGAGTCCACCGCCTTTGGCCCCAGGGAACACCGGCGCTCGGCGCATCCAGAGAGCACGTGGTTCCGTTCGCGGAAGGAGCCATGGAATACATCCCCGTGGAGAGCACCAGTGCAGGGACATCCAGCCCTGGACTGACACCTGAGTGGTGAGGGCCCGAGGGACCAGGCCGCCTCCGGAAGCTGGTGATGCACCAGCGCGCCTGGCAGGCGGGGGCAGGGGTCGGGGGCCACGTGGGGCCTCCATGGGGTGCCCGGTGGTCCTCAGGGGCGAGACCTGCCCAGCGCCCACCCGACCCCCGGGCCCGGCCCAGGTTGGGGCGCACACGCACTCTGAGGTTGACGATGGGCAGGGTGGCGCGGTCTGCGCGACGCACGATGCTGTAGAGGTCCTGCAGCCGCGAGGACAGGAAGGCGCGGA